GATGAGATATATGACTATCCATAGGGAGAAGGTATATGTACGGCTCATGAAAAATTTTTAAATAATGCATATAAATAAGTCGTAAAATGACACAATAACTTATAATAAAATGACACAATAACTTATAATGAAATGCGTTTATAAAGTTTTATTAAGAAATAAGAAAATGATAAATATGTATATGAAGTAATAAATAATAATTACAATCTTCCCACATGTATTACAAATGTTATGACATGAGGTACATATTTCATGTAATGCGTTTATTGCATTTAGTGCACTGAATTTAATCTGCCCATTCTGTATACAATATTTTAGGCATAAATCCCGCCTGCTAAAAATGCCATATATTCAATATATCAAACAGGTGGGATATACGGCAGACAAAGAATGAAAGAGCAAAGTACTTGTATTTTGTTATACAACATGCTTTACTATTTCTCTACACTCATGTATTACGAAATAACCACAAGTCTAATGCACGTCCTACAGTAATCATTTTATGTAGATTATAATTTATGATGGCGCTACTCACAGTGACCGATTCAGCTCACAATAATTTCATTGATATTAACAATAAGGAACTGAAATTATAATATAATACTAATATAACATAAAGGCATGTAATAAAGTAATTGCGAGAAAATTATCTTCACTTCTTCTATTTTTTTTGACTTCTGCGGCGTAAATCTTAGCACGGCATATTTGAGCTATCCTATGTAATGCTGAAAAATTTCGCTAGAGTTCTCCGTAACGTTAGCCTTAGAAATTTATTTATCAATTTTGATAAAGGAACGCTTGATTTTATTTGCATATAAAAGTCGTTCAAGAAAATAAATGATTAAAACTACAATGATGGGCCCGAGAAGACAAACTGGTGACACGTGGAAAGCAATTTCAGGTCAAGGTTCGTACAGCTCAACTATATTGAGATACATGGACAACGAATCGAGAGATTGCAAAGGTGAAAGTTTTGCGCGATACGTTTACAACCATGCAACGGATGCTGCAGCAATGTTCTAGCATAGTCGATGCATCTGCAGGCTTTCTTTCTCTTACCAAGTATATACCGATAAAGTACGACTTTCGATTGCTGTCACAATTATTTAACGTGTACCAGAGTAATTTATTAATTTCCTATAAGATAATTCCGATATTTCTCATTTGTATTAAGATATAAGGTATTAAGATATAAGCAGTATCGATTGAAATAAAAACAAGAGCAAAACAATTGTGTTTGAATGCATTACTCTATTGAGCTATATTATTACCGATCTATAATCGAACTTTATTATCGAGAAACGTAATTATCAATAATGATTAACGTCATATTTACCTATAACATTTTTATTGAAAATCTTTTCAGTCCAAAAAAATGCTTACCATTCAAAGATAAAAGATTCAATTTGATCTGCTAATACCAACGTATATATGTAAAGTAAATATTCTATAAATTTTCCAGAGCTCATTAATTTGTTAGACTCTTCAGATCTGGACAAAAACTTATCAATATCTACTAAAGCGAAGAATAAAGGTCCGAGATCACAGATCTTTTCATAACACATAATGCATAAAACATATTGTAAGAAAATCGACTAATCAGAGAGTCTTTTGTTTCATGAAAAGGAAAGATTGGATCGTTTTTCTTATATTTTATGCATTATACATTGTGCTCCGGCTTTAATAATTAACATTATCGATATATTATTATATTAATCTCACATACTCAAAAAGTAGACTAACAAAAAACAATTTACAAATTTACATTTACATTTTCTCGCGGGACATTTATATTTTATTTCGTATCTTTGTTTCTTTTTTCTTTGTAGCAGGGAGAGATCGTGGGTTGCTTTTCCTCTGAGCATTTGTGTATCGCTTATTCCAGACATGAAATGTCGATTCTTTCCGAAACAATCGTCCACCTGCGTAACACCTGTCGTAGATTTTATCGACCTACTGGCGGACGATAACACGCGAAAATGGGAAATGCCAGAGAGATCGCTCATGCTGTTCGTTCTCTCTCTTTATCTCTTCTCTCTCCCTACTTCTCTTCTGCATGAAAACGTCGCGCGATAACTCGTACGATGTTGTCATTCAAGAGGAAATGGAGTTCCAAGATTTATTCGTGATATCCCAGCGGGTCGATAAGCTTTATTATTTGTGCGCGCCGTAGCGAGATCAGCGGTGGAGTATGATAAACATTTTCGTCATCGTGCTCAAAGCAGATTACTTCCGTGATATTTCTCGGTCGGGCTGCACCCTCGAGATTCAATCGCGCGATCAAAGGCGTTCCACCTATCAAAGACACGCGGATCACGCATTGTCATAAAACAGATTCGACGCGTTTATTTGGTTTTACTGGGACTTCAAAATAAAATGATGTGCATTATTCTCGAGTCGTTTTCAAATTGACTCGTTTTCAGCTGCAGTATTGGCCCATTGAATATAGGAATTGAATTGAAATAGTGCAATAAAGGTTTATACATGGTTTTAAAATTCGTTTTACTTGATTTATAAATCGCTAGAATTCAGGATAAAATTCTATTTACAGTTTTCTAGTGATGTGTAATATAAAAAAAACATTTAACGACTCAGAATACACACGTATAAAATTGTATATCAAAACACTCAGCATATAAAATTACTATCGGAATTTTATCCTGAAATCCGATGCGAATTATAGAGCATTTGTAACGGAGTTTATTTTCAGAAGCAAAAAAGAATTTGTAAAAATATAAAGTGTTGTTGAAAACATTGCAGCTATTTTATAGTTCCAAAAGAGAAATTTAAAACTATGTATCATGTCAAAATAATCTATATTCCAAAAGTAAATACATGTAAAAATTTTACTTTTTTGATCCACTTCTGTTCAATAAAATGAGCTCGCTTATGTGTAATTCCATATAATTATGAAGTAAAATGATTTATGCTGAAATCCTACATTACATTAAATATAATAAAATTAAATACTATACTTTATAGCTGACCGGTAATGAACAGGAATTAAAAAGAGCCAAATGTTACGTGTTGATTATATTACGCTCGGCGTAGCATTTCACGTACGTCACTCTTTATTAATCTTTTTACGTTCTCTTTGCATTTTATTCGCGCAATATAGTGTATAACGTTAACGCCAAAACGAAAGCAAACTCGGGAGGGCAGAGAAAGCTCGTTTAAACGAGCTACAAATCTTACGCTTTTATGAACTTCAGACTTATTTTAGCGATGGAAAATGTCAGAAAAATCGAATCCTTTATCACGTTAACCCCTTTGCACTGAACAACAAGAAAAACAAGAAAATTTTCGAGATAGATTTTTGTTGTACTACTTATGTAAAATCTGTCATTCGCATATGCGTTAAGGTATGTATTTTATATTGACGGATAAATGCAAACCATACATTTCGATAATATTTACATTAAGCTTCTATCGAAATTATCAGAGCATATTTTAATATTTGTTGTTATCTTTCTAAATCTCGTGGAGTGAAATCAAAGAGACTGAAAATTTAGCCTGTCTTGAAAAAAGAGTGAAAATATAGCCATTTCTGTTTAAGAGCAGACACTCTTTTTAGAATGATAATTACTCTTTTGAAACGAGATTCATTTCAAAGAAGTAAAATTTCAATTATTTTTTGGAATGTAATACCAGAGTAGATGAAACCTCACTCCAAAAAAGGATTGAGATTTCACTTCTTCTAGGAGTAAATCTCATTCCAAAAGAGTAAATCTCACTTTAAAAGGAGTGAAAATCTCTCATTTTTAAACAAGAGTGACCATATTTTCATTCTCTTTTCAAGACAGGCTGAATTTTCAGTCTCTCTCTTCGAGTGAGATTTCACTCTACGAGATTTGGAAAGTCATCTGCTGCTTTATATTTAACGAAAAGCACAAATTTACATATACGAAAAAACCCTTTTTTCACTCGTGTATAAATCTCTCTATGAAATTAAACGAAAATCAAATAGTGAGCGTAAATTAAAGT